CCACTTTTATGTAAAGTGGTTGGATTAAAAAAAGATAAATTTACAATTCCCATAAACTGGTCTATACTATACTATACTGGATAATGTTGATAAAAGTTGACTTAAAACACATGATATAGGAATAATCAGTGTCACTGATTGGTCTTGAACGTGAAGGGTGGTTTAAGATGGATGGCAGAAGTCAACTGGAATACCTCAACATCCACACTTTGTACTAGCTGATGTAGCCACTAATATATGGTCAGTTAGTTTTGGTAATATATTAGAGTTCTGTCTTTCCTTCAAATCTACTGGTGTGAGGTTGAATACTCATATAAACCTTCTTTAGTATATCACTTGGTTTACGATTAACTCCTTTAAATTGGCAATTATAAAGTTCTTATTAACAACTTGTGATTGGTGGCAGCGTATACAAACACAAGGATATCCACAAGGCTACATGGGTGTCACCAGATGGGCGAACCAAAAACCAAATCGACTTCATCTCAATCTCAAGGAAGTGGATGCGTAGCCTACTGGACACAAAAGTAAGAAGAGGAGCAGACGTTGACTCTGATCACTATCTCGTACAAGGGACAATCCAAATCAAATTAAAAGCTTTCAGAGAATCAGGAACTGCAGATAGACCACAAGCCAAGTTTAACACTCAGAAACTGAAGGACCAAGACACAAAAGACATCTTCACTGCAAGCATAAAAGACAAAGCCCAGACACAAATCAACACTAGCGAAGAGTTCAGCGTCGAAAAGCACTGGAACAAATTGAAAACGGTGTGGAGTCAAACCTGCATGGAAGTTCTAGGCAGAAAGAAGAGACAGGACAAACAGTGGCTCACTACGGACACTTGGAAACTAATAGAAGAGAGAGGGATGGTGAAACAAAAGATTCTCCAGTGCACCGATGAGCAACAAAAACAGGATTTGAACGCAAGCTACAAGACACTGAACAAAAGAGTAAAGAAGAGTGCCAGAGAAGACAAAAGAAAGTATTATGAAACCATGGCAAACGAAGCAGAACAAGCAGCAGGCAAAGGAGACCTCGCAACACTCTACCAAACAACTAGGTACTTATCGGGCAAACGTTTGACACAAATCAAGCCGGTGAAGGATGACAATGGAAAGTCACTCATCAAAGAAGTGGTGCAAAGGAAACACTGGGCTGAACACTTCAAAAGACTCCTAAATCGACTACCACCTACAACGCGCCCAACAATACCAACAACAGAGACAGAGCTACCAGTGAACACCAACACGAAAGCAGAAATCCTGAAGGCAATCAAGATGCTAAAAGCTGGAAAAGCAGCACGACCAGATGGAATCCCAGCAGAGGCATTGAAAGTGGACCCAGAGACAACAGCGGACTTGATGACGCCACTACTGGAGAAGGTGTGGAAAGAAGGCAAAGTACCCGAGGATTGGAAGAAAGGATACTTATTCAAACTACCAAAGAAAGGAGACTTAAGTCAATGCAAGAACTGGCGCGGAATTACACTCCTGTCCATCCCAAGCAAAATACTCAGCCGCATCATCCTGGAGAGAATCAAACATGCCAATCTGGATGAAAAACTTTGACCGGAACAGGCTGGATTCAGGAGAAACAAGACATGCATTGATCAGTTCGCCACATTACGGATCATCATTGAACAAAGCTTGGAATGGCAATCACCTCTCTACCCCACTCAACTTCATCGACTTTGGAAAGGCCTTCGACAGCGTCGATCGAGAGGTGCTTTGGAAACTACTTCGCTACTACGGAGTGCCACCGACAATTATACATCTCATCCAACAGTGATATGACAATGCTGCATGCCGCCAAGTAATCCACAACGGGAAACTCACGGAACCCTTCGAAGTGAGGACAGGAGTAAGACAAGCTGGCTGCCTACTATCGCCAATGATTTTCCTGATTGCAGTAGATCGGATAATGCGGCAAGCAGCGGGCAACGAAAAAACAGGCATAAAATGGACTCACACAAAAAACTTGGATGATTTGGATTAAGCCGATGACATATGTCTGACTTCCCACAAACTGGAAGATATGCAAGCGAAAAGCAACAAGTTAACAGAAGAAGCATCCAGAGAAGATAGGACTTCAGGTGAACACAGAGAAAACAGAGGTGATGAAGATTCCTGACCTACACCACCAACAGCAACAACAACAACAGACAACAATCAGCATAAATGGAAGGAACCTGAAAGAAACAACCTCTTTTACCAACCTGGGAAGCATCGTTTCAACTACAGGCGGACGGAACTGACGAGGATATCAAAGCAAGAATCAGAAAAGCAAGACAAGCTTTCACTACTCTCAAGCCTGTGTGTAGGTCAACAGCACTCAGCATCAAAAATAAGATCCGGATTTTCAACTCCAATGTGAAGTCAGTGCTACTCACTAGACGGATCAGAGACTTGCACTGTGTGTCATAAAGAGCATCTCAAACAAACTACAGACCTTCATTAACAGTTGTCTTTGCCCAACACTACTCAAGATCAGATGGCCGGTCAGAAAAGATCAGCAACAGGGATCTCTGGCAGTGAGCGAACCAACCCAGCAGGAACCGATTGTGAAACAAATAGACAGGAAGAAATGGAGATGGATTGGCTGGCCATACTCTGAGGAAACAACACCATCAAGTGACATCACTAGACAAGCCATTGCTCGAGTGGAACCCGAAAGGGAATCGGCGAGTTGGTCGTCAGTGCGAGGGTGGCTTGGAGGAGGTCATGTGGAGAGGAGATGAAAGCATGTGAGCAAACATGGAGCCAGGTGAAGACTCTAGCAGAGAACCTAACGCAATGGAGACGCACGGCTGAAGCCGTTTGTTCCTCTAGGAATTAAAGGATGCAGTAATAATAATAATAATAATAATAAACAACTTGACATAGTAGAGTTGATGTCAGAATTCCTTTGGAATATAAATATATAAATCCAATGAATTCTGATAGATGAATCAGACTTTGTAGATAAGGCACCATGAGAATGATTCAAAGTTAATGCTATAACTCCAACTTATGACCAAATTCTATCAGTCAGAAAATATATTACATTCACATGATATAATTTTTTTTAGACTGCATAGAAGTATGTGTTTTAAAAAATTAACTATTAATAGAGCATTTTCTAGTCATGTTAAAGATTAAATGGATTACGAAAGGTTATATCCAAAGTATAATACATCGTTGTTATAAATATTCGCATATATTGAATATTTTTTCTATAAAAAATTATTCCTTTTATATTTGATAAGACGGCATTTCTACTATTTTTTCAGTTGCGTTAAATGTAAAATTCAATACACTATTGTATCACTGAATTTGTGTCATTTCTTCGCCTACTCCAACGTCTTATTCAGTGACTGAGGTTCACTGATGATCAGTACATGAAACGAGTTCAGTCATGAGTCTGCTGAACAGTTCCTAATTAAAATTTTAACTTGTAAACTATTTGAGCACGATAATTTAAACTAATTTTTAGTACATGTTATGTTGTGTAAGCGTCACTTCAATCTTGTGTATTGTAATCATTATTCTTTCCTTGGGTTACGAGTGGAACAGGGTTTCAGCAGCTCATTGTCATTATATTTTGTCCTCTATCTCCACGACTATCTATATGATATCCTCTGTTTAAAAATCAGGCATTCAACAAGTGGCTTCCCAATCAGTTTATACTTGATAACTTTCCTGGCGTATGTTATCAATCGAGTATCTCCTCAGCGTGTGCGTAATTCATCTCCATTTCCTTGGCTTGTTCGGTGCCAGAGTTCCTTCTTGTTTATCTAATCTTGTGCATCAAGACGTCAGTGGCACAGCAGCAGAATGCTCTCCTGCCAAGCAGGTGGTCAGAGGTTCGATCCCCGGCCGACGCACTCCTTTACCTCGTTGGTAGAGAGGGAAGTTTGGACATGAGGCTAGCAACCTTATCCCGTAAAAATAAATACCATTGCTACCGAAACTTCAAAGCCCAAGAAGATTGAAGCCCTATGTTCCACTGGGGAGGTAAACGAAAAATCAAGACTTAATACAGAGGCAGTATATGCGCATATATCGTGGATACAGATGTGGATAGATTTATGCATGAGAAATTCCAACTCCTTTCTTAAGCCAACCGATTTTGATCAAGTATTAAAGACCTGAAAGCTCTAAACCTCTTGATTTCCTTGTTAACTGTTCGATTGGATCTGTCATACAAGATGACTCACCAAATGGATATTGTAGAAGGTTTCATTGTATGTAATTTGCTTTTTCATACCTATGCTATATATATATATATATATATATATATATATATATATATAGCCACTTATATGGCCAAGCCCGATTCCGGGTCGAAAAACTCCTAAATCTCGCTTAGTTGATAATATGCCTGAAAAACAGGACAGGTTAGGGGTGAGACTAGCAACCCCACCCCGCAAAAACAACACCACCACTATTGAAGCTTCAAAGCTTAAAACTTGAAACCTTATGTTTCATTCAGAACTGAATGGAGTATATATATATAATGTCATGATAAACAAAATCAATTCATCCCAGCTATCACACGTGATTATTACCATTATACAACTCACGAAGTGTCCAGTCATATTCCGAAAAACCACTTGTTGTTACACTATTGATATTATCTTTTATTGATGGGATTATAGTGTTTCTAATATTCTCTTTTAGAAAGACATGAGAATTTCTTAATTAAAAAGCTATAGACTACAATCGACCAATCCTATTCTTACTAGACAGACATCCATTTAACCTTTGTTGACCACTAATCTGACTAATACACTGCTGTAAATTCGTATCCAGAAATAATTTAGACTAAATACAATTAGTGCTAAACTCTCTTTATTTTATTTAAGCTAAAAACTGGACACTTCAGTGTTGTCGCCATTGTTTTTGTTGTTTTAATGAACTACCTTTATGACATTTTATTCAACTTATCACTGTGTGAACAACGGTGATAACTTACAATGGAACCCCTTCCGATGAAAACAAAACTATACGGTCAATGCACTACCAGCTAACCAATAGGTCTGCTTAAACCTTTACAAATGGAATCAGCTAATCACTAACTCAAGCAGAGATGATATAAACACAAAGGAGTGAATTGAAGACGCTTATTCGAAAATAAGAATCGTTATATTTCACTGATAACTAGCGGTCAGATTACTATCTAAACGTCTAAGCGCTCATTGTTGCCAGCTTATTTTAAACAAAGCATCATGACGTTTCAGATGTGTATTTTACTAATAACACTGCTAATTATGGTGAAAATTGATAATTGTAAGTGTTAATATTTTATTTTGGATGTTTAAAGTTGTCACAGGAATTATTGTATTCACCTTCACAGTAATTTATATACCATTTATCATATATTGTCAATATTCCTCTTGGTCCCGAGTGCAACATTGGGCTTCGACAGCACGCCTCCACTTCGATTAGTTCTTCAGCTTGCCCCAAAATTGTCCATAGGCTTTCACCTTCTCCTCACACGATACCCTCAGTGTTACCCTTGGACACTTGCCAACTCATCGATTCCCATTCATCTCCCACTCGAGCGATGGCCTGGCACATTATGTCACCTAATGGTCTCTTCAGTATGTGTTCAATCCACCTTCCTTTTCATTGAAATATTCCTTGAGCTATGGGTTCTTGGTTATTTCGTTCCCATAGTTTCTTGTTGCTAATTTTTTCTGGCTATTTGATCTTCAATATGAAGGGAAGGCAGCTGTTGATGAAAGTCCACGACAGCCTGTTAGGAATGCTTCTTATGGTCCGTTAGCCAAATTTCTGACTCATATAGGAGAAATGACTGAATATTAGTGCTGGAAATCCGAATTTTGTTCAGATAATCGTTAAGCACTCTTTTTTTACGAGTATTCGTTGTAGGAACAAGTGAAGAGGATATTCGGCAGGATGTTTTCGTACTATATAATTATAGGGTTATGTTGAAATCCATGAACATTTTTCGAAGCAAACAGGATAAAGATAAATATCCGTTGTACTTCAAAAGTCAGCTTCTCTTTTTGCATCTTTACAAAAATATCGCTTAGTCACTTGTTTAAACGTATAATAGCTTTTCTATGCTGAATTAACAACGACTACCATCTGTAGATAGGTCCACTGAGTCAATACAATACCAATGATTAAATAAAAAGAAGATAAATTAGGAGATTATACGTAAAAGCACAACATTTTTACTAAGCTGTCTATATATTTACACACACGTATACCCCACTTGTATTTGGCTTGATAATGAACATTGATAAGCCGTGATCATCTAACTAAAAACAAATAAATTAACTTCTAGTGTATTTTGACAACTGAATGAATCAAACCTAATATATCTCGGTTTCAGGATGCCAAAATTGATAGCGTTTTACATTCGAATGAGCAATGAATTAGTTTCGAGTCAGATATTATGATTTATCATAACAGGATGTATTACTGATTGGTGTCAGTCAGGTAGCGGTTGTAGGAATATCACTAAAATATCCGCAACTAAGCACAAAATACAGATTCTGAGTATATTTATCAGCCATTTTACTCTGTGGTAAAACAGATGCAAGACAATATTTAGTTTAATCAATCAGTTGTTTGGGAGAAACAAACTCCCATCTTAATACACATATGTAATCATTCAGAAGGAGGTGAGATATAATTCTTCAGAACATATATTTCCATATCGGATCTATTTTTCTCAGTTTTCAGAATCTTAAAGTAATTGAACAGTAGTGTTTTGTTTTTATTCCTTTGGTTTCCGATTGGAAAACAGGGCTTCACGCTTGAGCTTTGTCATATAATTAGCCGTGACTTCGTCTTTTCCGAACTAAGAATGCCAGCCCAACATCCAGTCTTCATTCTTTCCCAGTTTTACTATCGGCCCAGAGACGTCTAGATGTAGGCTGGGAGATAATCGAAAGCTGGACCACTTGAGTGGTTGGCGAGTTCTCTAACACAACCACTGACGCTAACAGTAGTGTAGTAGCTTACATAATTAGACTAAAATGTATATATGTTAATAGTTAATTGTCTGCCTTACTCATGACTGTTATTAACTTGTATTCTTCTACTTTTACCATTTATTATTATTATAGCTGTTGCTGTTAACTGTTTCACATGTAACCCTTGCCCGAGTCCATTTATCCCTTCATCCAGTTTAATTAGAAATATGACTGGTTGTGGTTCATGTGCAGTAAGTCAAAAATATTTCGGTTTAATTTAATTCTATTATTGTTCTAATTCGACAATTAAGAATATCTGTTCATATATATAATGGCGCATTTCAAATGGTGTAATTCTCATCTACATAGAACTGACAGATTTCACAAAGCCGTATTTAGTCAATACCAAGGTTGCAAACTTCCATTATTTATAATATACGCTCCTCCATAAAATTAATGCAAAACGAGGATATTAACACTACTAGAAGTGCTCTGCAGTTAAACTCATACATGTAAAACAAAACCTTTATGTTTGAGAGACTTGATGGCTTGCTTTAGACTTTCATCAAGAGCCAGTTGCCTTTTCTCAATACTGAAGACCAGATAACTGACCAGAAAGAATGAGACACAGGGAACACTCACTGACAGTACAGTGGACCTGTCAACAGTCTATTATCCAACACACATATATAGAAGAAAGTGGATTGGACATAGACTGGACATGCACCAAGGATACTTTGAAGTGACATCATATTCTGGGGCGTGCCCGGTAGCAGAACTCGAAATTGGAGCTGCCACAGGTTGCACATAAGTTTGAGTTTGATATGAAGGAGGAAATGAAGCCTTGTAGACAGTAGTGGAGGCAGTTCAAAGGAATTTCAATTTAAATGAATTCATTACTTTGAAAAAAAAATTGTGTGTCACTTAAATGACACATCATATTTACGAGAAAGTTTCATGAAATAGTGAAACACTCGTCTAAAACTCTATCTACTGCTACCCTATAGGAAATACACAAAAACAGGCCATTTGTGAAAGAAAACTAATCAAATTAGTCAAGTAATAAAGAGGATGAATGACTAAAATTTCAATGAGGGTATTTCTTTCACTTTAAAAGTGAATACTAACCGGTAAAATGTTGAATATATTAAGTGTTTTATAGCTCAATACTGTCTACTGTATCCTAGCATTAATGAATTTATAACCGTATAGACTAAAGTAGAATTTATTAAAAACAATTCTTTGCTCTTTCTGTTCCTCTCCTTAATAAATCTACATGTTTGTCGGATAATACGAGTTTGGTAGACATAGAAAAGGGGAATTTCAGACATTGATAAACATCTATTATTAACACCCGAACTTATTTCATTATACACATTTTAGGCGGGAACATAATCAGTTCTCACAAATTTTATTTTTTTCGCCGTATACAGCAGACAAGCTAATCTACTGATTTCTTTCTCATTTTTTTTACATTTCAAAACAGAAACTTGATGTCAGAGGTATGCCAACTCCAATTAGAGATTGTGTCGAAACATGCGATCGTTATACATGGGCAAATAAATACACTCAATATGCTTACAGTTGTTGTACACGAAATTTCTGCAATAAAAGCCAAACAAATTATCCAACTTATCAAATGATATTCACAATTTTATCGATTATCTGTTTTTATATTACTAAAAGCAGTTCAAAGGGTTGACAGTATTCAAACAATTCTTCTCTTCCAACCTTTTCTATGTATTTTCTCATGTTCTCATTGATTCGTCTGCATCGCTTTCAGTTTGTTTAGTCTGAGCATTTATGTTCAATGTCTACTTGTGTAATAAGGAAAACAACAGCATCTCATTTGTGAAGCGCAACATTTTTTTATCACACTACTCAACTACTACTACTATTAAATAATTTCTATTCAATTATCAATACAATAATTCTAAAAAAAATGTTGAGATGCACGTGTTTGGTTAGAGGTAGACAGTTTATGGTTAATTTGATTACAATTATTTGATCTATAAATATGGAGGTGATTTTAAAATACATTCTTTCTTATAGAAATAGACTATCAGCAAACTTTAGATGATACTGAGTTTATTTAAAGTGACGTAAAAGAAAGAAAAATAATGTCTGATTGCTTGCGCATCACCAGAACATTTAACAAAATTTCTCATATGGTGAGCGACTCGAAACAATATTATGAGAATAATAAGTTAAAAACACCCAAAAAAGCTCTTCAAGTGAATTTAGAGTACACAGCCTATGTTAAAAATCTTCTAAAACGTGGTTATTTCAAAGTGTTTTCACCACAGAATAAGATAATGTGGCGTGTGTTGTGGACAAGAATTTGAAAACAATCTAATGTGTGTGTGTGGCGTATTCTTCAAGCATCTTCAGTAGCTCAGTGAAGTTATCAGGTGACTACTTCCTGAGATATTACAGTAATTAAGCAGCCTTTGGCTTGGTTAAGATAGAGATCCACTGCTTCTAGGGATAACTCTGAAAGTCTTAAGCCTCAAAGAAAGATGTAAAAGAATAACTGCTACCTTCCAGGTTTATGGGATATGCACCTAATGCGATCGAGCATCAGCTATAATTAGTGAATACAGCCCAATCTATGGACATTAATCAATGAGTGAAGGTTATAAGACAAGAAATGAGTCCAACTGTTGCATCAGTGATGAATGATGGGACAACAGAAGAACCTCAGAGGCAGATATCAGACACCCGAATAAGAGTGGCACAAAATGGCAAATGTTTTGATTGTGAAAGAATAGGCAGTCAGGGTAGAAATTGCCAGGAACGAAAATGCAAAGGTCTTAAGCGAACTTGTCTTCCATATTTAGCTGGTATTAGTTCACTGATTGTCTGGCTGATAGAAAGGCTGTACATGGAAGAATTCGAGAAAACGGAGCAGAACAAGTTTGTAGGATTAATACAGAGGCAGTCGTTTTGCTGATAGGTGAAGAAAAAGTAACTACATAAGGTCACGCGTTAGCAGTTCAAATTATTGAGAGACCTACACTGATAGTTCTTGGTGTTACAGACTACATAGTAGGGATGAAAGAATGTAAAATATGCTATGCATTTATTATAGCATTAGATATACGATAAAAACTACTGGGAGCAGACCTCTCGAAAGAAGTAGGTGTGATTTTAAATATGAAGAGTAGAAAAATGAACACAAAGTACAGGCAAGTTGTAGTACATGAAAACAGTTAAGTGGCAGCAACAAAAATACCAGTAACCGACGCAGTGGATATTACGCCTATAAGAGTTCGATATCACGACCTTACACGCTATCCAGAAAGAAAGTCTGTTGACATATTCTTTATCGGAAGTCAATACAGAGTCGCCTGAGATGACATACGAGTACATGCATTATAAAAAGACCAATTAGTACTTGTATGCTGTCAAAAGCTGGAAAGCAGTGATATAGACCACAAATGATGGTATAAATGTATATCGAGCTGCGGTAAGTAGGGAGCTGACGAAGTTACTTTTGCAGGAAGATTGATTAAGATTCACTACTGTATTTAAGTATTAGGAGGATCACAACGACATCATATCAGCCACAAAGCAACAGTACAACAGAGAGAAATAACTGCACATTGAAGAAGTGACTAGCCTCTGAAGGAGGCCAATCGAAGAAAGAGGCTCCACTGATTCTCCTCTGTTCAGGAAATAGTATAGAAGTCATCGTTCCAGATTATGGTAGGAAGCCAGCACTACCGGTAGACAATAAAACCTAGTTGCATCGCCATTGGTGGAAATGAAACGGAAATAAAGAATCAAGAATATGCAACATTGACAGAAGGTCGTTTGTGCGAAATCTGAACACGGAGAAAAGTAGAAACTAATCACATCTGAGGCTGAATGTCAAGAGGAGTTTAGACACAGAAAAAACACAGTTGGTGACCATCTAGGTTCTTAGAAACCTCCGAATTCCACTCTTAAATGTAGGGTTATTTATTTTACTATTACTGTAGGTAGTTTTATCTAATGAACATTCTACTAACAAATACTTTTGTGTTCTCCGCTGCTATAAGATAGTAGAATTTTAGAAAGGAAAAAACACGCAACCATTTTTTATCATCAATGCACCTCACTATAAATTTATACTGATTGTTAAGCACAACTATTCCATTCAGTTCAACAGCTCTCAAGATCTTCTGTCACTATTCACATCCAAATTATTTTACCTGAGAATATAGATCTTGGATTCATATCAAATATTCTTGAAGCTAGTGACTGTACCGTGATTATATTCACCTGCAAGGATTTCGATTACAGATAGTAAGAAACAGTATCAACAGTAAAAGTGAGCTTTAGTTTTTAGTCAAAACTTGACGAATAACAGATTTCTGCAGGATTTTTCAGAGTGACTTGTAATAAATAAACTGAAATACAAGGTTGGTCACGACAAGAATCTAAACTCAGGTGGGAAAAACAACTGAAACTGAAGCACTAATGGACATATAAGGACAAAGAAGAGGCTGTGAGTAGTTTGAATTCTACTTAACATACACCTTCATCGTAACTTTTTAAATATTTGCTTCCCATTCGAGCTCCATCTGAGGGTCTGATAGGCGCGTCATCAGCTGGACGTCTCCTCAGCACATGGCTAATCCATCCCAACTTCCTCATACATATTTGTCGAGCAACAGGCTGATATCTGGCTCGCTGTCAGAGTTCCTTGCTGCTTACCCTTTCTGGCTGGCAATCTCATCTCCATTATCAAACCGAATCGATATAATGAATTGCCTCCATTAATGTCTATTTTGTGTGTCCGTCAGAGCCAACCAATTCTTGTCTTCAAACGTACTTCTGTTTATGATTGCTTCGACTAACAAGTTCACTAATACTTCTTCGTTTGATTTAACTAGTTTCAATCCAAGCTATCGTGAAAAATCAAATCACATACAAAATCATGAAGTGTGAGATTGCTGGATTTCACTATTTATATGAAGCTATTTCTCAAATAATATCATCGTATGTTTAAATGAATTTGTATTTTCCATTGGATGATGTATCTTAGACACAAATTCTGGGTCTCTGTGCGACATGGTGTCTTCTACTAAGAGCGCTTCGACCAGGTGCGATGATTACCATGATGTTATTTAGTTGGTTATGGCTGGCAGTGTAATCCCAGATGCGTATGTTAACATACACCAGGTGTTTTGATTTAGTGTCATGAATCAACGGGAAGTACAAACTAAATGAAATAAGTACCGACTGTTATCCATTGCAGAAGATGTGGCTCTCTTAGCCCGATGGACTAGTAGATAAGGCTAAGTCTCAGTGAGAACAACATCGCTCACTCATGATGTAGGTACATTCATGTAACGAATCCCAAATCGGGATGAAATGCACATCTCGAAATCCATTGCTAATGTAACCAAGGAAGACAAGAGACATCGTAACTGAATGTGTTTTTTGTAATTTGATATACACATATGCAGTTGACAGCTCAAAGACTTCGGTCAGCCATCAAATACACATATATGAAAATTATGCATACGATATATAAGACCCGTCATTGGCACTGATCTTCCGTGTTGTACTACTGTTACCCTTCATAGTGTGTCTTCCATGTTTTGCCGCAATACACTGGTTCATTTCCTCTCTTTTACGTCAAATCTATCTCTCCGCTATTTGATGGTTTTACACCGATGAACATCTATTAACATACTACTGGTAAATCTTGTCAGTAGCACACGCCACACTAGAAGCCGCCAACCGAATAAAAAACATCATTTTATAGTCCTCTCTAAATAATATTACGAATGACTTTGTGGCAATAGATTTTACTTTAATATTCTGTCAGATTCTCTTTTGGGACTCTTCAGCAGTACGAACCCACCGGGATTCAAACCCAGGAGTGTCTGGTTACAAGGCGAGCTCGTAGACCATTGAGCCACTGGGACCCGATTCAATGGTCCTTGAATTCTAACTTCTGTCAATTCACGACATAGCGCGACCATTTCGCAATGTTTTCTTCGATGAGTTACTGCCTCATCTTCAACCTGCTTTACCCTACTCGTCACGGCTTCCCACTAGAACCCCAGGTTAACTGCCTGAATAGGGCCAGTCACTAGTGAGCATCAGATTAATTTTCGAGTATTGGTTTTGTAGGGATTTTGTTTGATTGCATGGAGGATTTTATCAAGGACCATTGGGTCGGGTCCCAGTGGCTCAATGGTCTACGAGCTCGCCTTGTAACCAGAAGGTCCTGGGTTCGAATCCCGGTGGGTGCGTACTGATAAAGAGTCCTAGGACGAAACAGGTGTCCAGTACTTCCAGGTGGTTTTCCAGTGGTTCTCTAACTGATGTCAGCTCATGATGAAATTCTCCATGCAATGAAACAAAATCCCTACAAAACCAATACTTGAAGATTCTCTTTTGTCTATTTTTATCATTTGGCAGCACAAATTTTGGAAATAAAATCATATATACGTTTGATAAGTGTGGCAAATAAATGAAGATAGAGATTTTTATGGCTTTATGGTTTTTATAATACACATTTCCTGTATATGTAAAATAGTTCTAAATAATACGTAATTCACACACACGGTAGTCGGTTGAAAACTGCTATTTATGCAAAGCAGCTTTGTTTGTCTAAAATAGGGTGCAATAGATCAAGTGAATTCAAATTAAGATATTCATTATTTTTGTTGAATTATTATGCACGGAATACACAGACTTCTACTTTCTCATGATTTTAGTGCAATATATATTGAATAATTTATGTTTATTGTTACTAATGTTCAATGCATTAGCCTTGCGTGCTTATTTACGATTGTCTCTGATTTACATAGAATAGCACATGTAAGCAAACAATATTATCCGGTTAAATACATTCATTGTGCATCGGTGGCATAGCGGTTAGGTCGCTCGCCGACCATGCACATGGTCCGGGGTTCGATCCCCGACCACCGACGCACTCCTTTTTCTTGCTAAGCCAGAAATAATGCTAGTGAAGAGGAAAGGTTGCGTATGAGGCTAGTAACTCCATCCTGTAAAATAAACACTGC